ATCCTAGCGGGAGGGATTTCTCGTCGACTTGTTGGAGAGCCGCGCAAGGGACAATGAGCCAATTCCCAGACCAACTAGACCCTGTCTATCACCAAAGCTGTCCAACACTGGCAAAGCACTTGCAACAAGCTCCAGCAGTTTCGCGAGATAGAGTGCATTCAAGAAGGTAGAGCGGCGGTTGCCCATGCTGACCATGTTCTAGAAGATCTATTGTAAGGTTTTGCGGCGAGGATGAAGACCAGACGAGTTTGGTGAGAGCTATAGTAGATAGCTTTCGCCGCGGGTTCCGTGATGGCGGGACGGGGAGGAAGACGGGGTCAGGGCAGGGCAGGGCAGGGCCTTGAAAGTTGGCGTAAAGAGGCCAGTCAAGGGCACGTGGCGATGGTGGTCATCTCGATGATGGCCATGCCATGCCATGCGGTATGCCATGTCCACGATACGATGGATGAACCGAGCATGGCATGCATGGCGGGGATGAGCATGAGCAGGTTCGGGGAAGAGGGGAGAGCTGGAACTGGCCTGGGCTGTCACTGGGCTGAGATGGGGCCAAAAAAGAGAATGTGTGTATAATTAGCCCTCCGATGATGCTATTTCGAACAGATGGGCCATGGGTCATGGGAGGGGGGAGTCGGGGAGGAGGAATATCAAGTTGGGGTTCGGTTGCAACGTGGATGGAGGTGTAGTGGGCTCAAGACGGAAGATGTGCGTGATGGATGTGGCAGGATGATGGGACGAAAAGTCACGAAATGGGACTGATGATGGCAAGAGGTTCGCATTGAAGTGACGGATGTGGAATGGAGTATGGAGTTTGGGATGAGCGGGAATGCCGTCGTGCCATCGGGTGTGGTGTGGTAAAACAGGCACGGCAGTCGTCTTCAGACGTTAGTCGTCTCAAGTCAGCCTTAGCAACCCCAGTTGGGAAGGCAGCCAACTGCCAAGCACAACCTATGGGAAGTCACCAATTGGACCAATTGATACTGGTTATTACTTCCTAATACTATCAAGTGCAGTCAGACGGACGATGAGGTAATCATGCAAGGTACCGCGGCTTACCTTAGCATCCTGTGTTAAGCCCAAGGTATATCCGTACTCCGTACCTACTTCGTACATAGGTAGGGTGCCAGGTACTGCGTAACGTACCTTACTACGGACACGTATGAATGGCGGAATAAGGTAGCGTGTCGACATCAATAGCATCACCCGTGTTATACCTACCTTACCTTACGGCTTGGCCTTGCGTCCCTCCTCACAGTGAACTCACGCAGTCAGGCGACTCTAGAGTCTAGACAGAAGCGAATGACACTAGGTAGTGTAACTTTCCCCCATGTCAGGATTCGCCTTGGCCCGCCCAGATGATGCCTGGCGATTGCGACTCATAAATGGGGTTTTAAGATGTGCTAAGACCGACCCTAACGCGCCTTTGCCGAAAGCTGGGCTGATGGAGAGTTGAGGTTGGTTCCATTTCCCCCAATGACTTCCCAGCTCGTTGTCTATCCTAGCTGGGGGCTCTTCTTAACTCAGCTCAACTATTGAATACTCTCTCTCTCGGTTCACCAAGGCTTCCCGAACAACCTAACCAATCTCCCCCCCACCCTTACCTTACTCGAGTGACAGCAACCTTCCCCGTTGCGTGCAAGGCACCAGGCACAGGGCCACACTACAGCGAGAAAGCTGCCTTCACTGCAACCATAGTCTGCTAGGGTATACAGTAAGTCGCGGCAGTCCCGGGGGTGAACTTGTCAGAGGCTCTTATAGCTATACGGCACACCCAGGGCAAAGACAGGGCAGGGCCGCCGCCAGAACCTGGGGACCAGGGATTGACACTAAAATTGGGCGTGGACATCGAGTGGGCATGGGCAAGCTTCGGCGGAGTAAGGCCCGTCAAGGCCGGCCTCTTTTTTTTTTTCTTATTTTTTTTTGTTGGTGAGTTGAGTTTACTGAGTTGTAGACTTTGTTGTTGTCTGTTGCTTTTTTTCTCCTTCGCGAGTTCCATTCCCCTTCTCTCATTTCGGAGGCTCCTCTCTCGGAGCATCGTCTCTGAAATTCCCCGTGCTGTTTCCTTCTCCTATCCCCGTCTAGGTTCTTCTTCGGGGAAAAAAGAATGGGGGAAAGTGGGGGATTGGGACCGTGAGCACACTGGGAGGCGGTTTGACTGCGGTGGGAATTTCCATCTCGCTTTACGACTGCAAGGAGCGTTGCCTCACAGGCGACACCCAAGAAGCAATAAAAAAATCGAGGGGAAACTCAATTCAGCAGGTAGAATTGCTACCCGTCCAATGGTCACTGGTCACACACACGGTAGCCAGCCGCGCCATGCGGAGGAAGAATGCCAAGACAAAGGGGAAACGGGGGGTAATGGGCAGAAGGAAAGAAAAACAGAGGGGATCCGTAACATGAAGAAAAAGGAAGCAAAAAGGATCCGGCAGTGGTGGAAAACCCGAGTGGTGGAGTCGAAGCAAATACCGGCGGCCGGCAGCTTCAAATCTTGTGCCGCGGCCTAGGCCATGCCATACCATGCCATGACCATTAATGACAAGCCTTTCTTTGCCCTTCTACCCTCCTTGGATAATGATGGTCCAATCCCACGATAGGTACCCGCAAAAAGAAAGGAAATGTCCAGACCGCACCTCAACCTCGAGTTACTGCGTCTTATGTGACATTCCCTACAAATAATACAGTCCGGCTTCCGTCATCGTACCCACGATACCTTCTCTCACCCGGGCGGGAAATCACAGGAATCCAGATTTCAGGGCCCCCAGTGCTCACCTCACCCTCGATACTGGGAATCGGGACGCTGGAACAGTGGACGCCGCAACGGGATCCTCTTGCAGTCATTACGGATGCCGCCTATCTCTGATGACACTGTCGCAGTCCAGGCCGACGTGCACTAGCACCGCGTCCGTGAGTTGCTGCAAGCAAGTATCCGCACCCATTCCCATCCGCACAACAACCGGGGGGCAGCTATCTCTCCACCGCGCTGCGACCTCCCGTCGTCGACGTCGACTCAAGACTTCAACCCATATCCACCCACTTACTGCTTGGTGGAGTGAAAGATGGTGGAGAGCGCGATGAGCCTAGCGAGGTCTATGTATTTCACTTTCAACTTCTCATCAACCCATACCCATACACCCAGGGCCACCACCTTGGCGTCCGTGTCGGTGTCTCCAAAGTCCCAGAGTCAGGGCAGAGAGGCTCATCTGCCCACGCTGTCAAGGGTTGTTGCAAACTCACGCCTTCTCCGCCTTGTCTCGTCAGACGACCAGCACCTGAATCGCCGCGCATTAGAATCGTCGTGAAGAAGGTTTAGCACCATGCCTCATCAGTAAATGATCACAGCCGATGATAGGAGTTTGACAAACGCAACAAGCACCGTTGCTAGTGTACTTCGTGCATCTGACGAGACCCGCATCGCATTCGCACGAGTCTAGCCCGGAGTTGCTGGAATGCCCAGATATCGGGTTCCCGCTCGTAGTTGTCGCATTTCGAGATTATTCCCCATGCACTCCGCCGCCCGCGTAGAAGACGACGTGAGCACTGAGTCGTTGTCGTTCGGGTTCCTCATGCTGGGACTCTGCGGATGTGGGATTTGACGACAAGTCATTAGGAACAGCCGGCGGGGATATCGGAGAGTGGGACGGTACGAGACGAAACGAAATGAGATGAGCGCAAAGTCGAGCTATCGAGCTTCGTCCACTCCGAAGCCGTCGCTCTCACCGTCAATGTCACGACGACTAGACTCCAAAGCCACCCCGAGCCACGTTGCAGAACAGTAGAACCTGGGGCTTGGCGACAAGGCTGTTTGTTGTTCTGATTCACTGGTTCACTGGCGAGCTCAGAGCTCCAAACTCAGAGCTGAGACCGAGGAATGCGAACTCGGAATGAGTGTCTGTTCCCACGCCCACAAACTGGATCCAGAGCCACGGATCGTAAAATAACGTTCAGTGACACGGAGCGCGGTGAGGTAAAGCAAGCTTGTTGCGACGTCTCACAAGGCTCAGGCGCAGGGACTTTTTGGCCTCCCGCTCGTCGGATACTAAGGTTAGGTGCTCCATAGTGTAGATAGACAGTTGGCGGCGGGCGAATAGATGAGACCGGCCGATGCAATTCATTTCAAAAGTCAGATTGCCTTAGTGGGCGGGTATTCGGCGGTATGGTAAGGGTAGGCAATTTGATGAAAAACAATAACAGTAAGGCAGAGGCTGCTGCAGAGGTCGTCAAGGTTGACCGTCGTCGTGATCGATGGTGGCAGTGTTCGCAGAGGGTCCCTCTACAGGCAAGGTACTGTATCCATACTCCGTACATCGAAGTTTCCAGGTTGGAAGAGCAATTCGTTGACCGCTCGACCAGGGTGATGCTCGTTGGTCGGGGCGACTCGTATATCCGTGTCCGAGGAGCTGGAAGGGTTCAGTGAAGTCTGTGAAGGGGGAACGTCCCGACTGGACCGGTGGCCTGGGATGGCATGGGATACGTACCTGAGTACCTTCTCACCGTTCGGATGCCACCTTACCTAATATCGTCCGATCGGCACCTTCAGCCTGGGCTCCCCTGGCGGTGCCTGGGAAGTGGCATGGGCCCCGCTCTTTCCTGGCTCTTTTCGGGATTAGTGGTTAATGTTGATAAAGGAATAAGATCCACTTGAGAAATAGGGAACCCGTCACTCTTTACGCATAAATGAATACGCAGTACCTATGAACCTTGGACCCTCCACACCTCACGCCCAAAACTGCCTAAACCCAATCCAATGTAGGTATGCGAACAACGCACCAAAGCTCGGCACTGGTACCCAAAAGTGCCCACGGCGTTGCAACGGTGCCGGGGGAGAGACCGAGTGAGGACCTCAGAGCGGTTGAGAGTCCCCGTCGCGGACGACCATCGAAACGGAGCAGGCCCGCTGACGACCGAATACCACTCTGGTTCCTTCCGGAGAGGTGGGCGGACAAAGTTGCAACGAGGTCAAGGACCAAGACTCGAAAGAGGCACACACGCACCGAAAGGGACAGATGCCCAGAGAGAAAGAGGACAGAATGGTACGTCAGTGGTAAGACGATGGCCCTGCCGAGCGGAGGCTCTTACAAGATACCAGTCCCCCCGGGCCTCGGCCCTTGAGTCCTTTGATTTGATTTCTAGATCGCACCATCTCCGGATCCCGCGCATCTGAAGCATCGGCAGACGTCTACCAGGTGCCTCGCGTCATGTCCCGCCGTGCCGTGCCCACCGCAGTCCATAGCCAGATCATATTCTTCCATGATCCATCCCATGGCGGGCGGCATGGCCCCGGTCTTCACTTCGGCTTCTAGTGGACGGAATCACGGATACGCATCGAGAGCCTCCATGAAGCTAGGGATCATACGGACCAACGCGGACTACGGACAAATTCGCAAACTCGTTAGCTTGACACAGTCCCGCGATGGGACCATCATCATCCATGACCTTGAATTATCGTGGCCGATACCGCCATGTACGACAGAATCTTCTTCCAAGGGAATCCACCCCTTTTTGCTGCTTCAGTATCAGCATGCCAGGCAAGCCTTTGATTACAAGCTTGTCAGTGTCGTCTGCTTGCGAGATATCCGCACCATGATGCAGCAGGGGCCTTATTTTGGAATTGCCTCATTTGGTTTGGTCGCTGCCCACAAGAACCCCCCGTGCCAAATCTTCCACTGCTCAGAAGTCTTCCTGGGATCCTGGAAGCTGGCACTGGCAGACAACGATATCCGCACACACCGCAACTGCAAAATCCGGGCACGTCTTGGCAGCCATGGACCAGCAGCGATGCCCGTTTGCCAACTTGTCGTCAGGTCCTTGAGCTTTCATCTCGTCTTCGGCTTCATCGTCTCCACAAGTGCACGCACATCAACGGTTCCGTTCCAAGTCATGATCTCACGCTTGAGCCAGTGCAAGGTGGTACCTTTGTCTTGGACGGTATCCATCGCCCTCATCTACCATGAAACTTGTTGTTGAAGACTTCAAAGTTCACGGACGCCAGATACCGTTGGTGGCATTCAGGGTGCCAAGCAGCGATTCAACGAAAAATCTCGCCCCCCTGCCCCCTTTCACTTCCCTCGTCTTGGAAAAGTTGGGGATTCAGGACCGGCACTCGAAAGGCTTGTCGAGGGAAGCCCTGCTCGCACTGCAGCCGCACCAACCAACCCGCTTGACCTGCTCGTCCCGTCGCTGGTGTGACAAGCCATGCCGAGCAATCGGCCGCCCGTCTGTCACCTGGAATTGACATGGCCTCGTCGCACAAAGTGGCAATTTGGTGCTTTTTGCTCAAGGCCGGGAAACTCTGTCATCGCACGGCCGCTAGCGCTCGCCGACCTTGAGAAGACGACGCATCCCGGGACCTCCCTGTCCAACGGCTTTCAAGCCTGCTTGCCTCTAATCTTGACCGAATATCTCGAGTCCTCGTTGGTCAGATGCGCACCAAGGCCGCCCACAATTCAGACCGAGCTTCTCCCATCGCCGCAATGCAAGTCCATCGCAGTGGCGAAGACCACAGCCACGCGTATTGTGCGCGGTCGGGCGCGGGCACAAATGCAGTCGCACATGGTCGAATCCTGCAACTTCTAGACATGCAAAGGCTTGCGCAACAGTGATGCTAGCAGCTTAGCAGCCTCGGCGATGAAAAGTTGTAACTTCAGCTCCACTTGACTTGGCTTCTAATCACCGTGGAGACACATGACTCTGGGGTGATTGGAAGATTCTGAGACTTCTGAGGGCAACCTTCATCACCGCAAGGGGCACTGGAACCGAGGGCCTTGACTTCGAATGGCAGGTAAAGGCGAGTCCGTTACGGCTGCAACCCTCGAGTCCTATTCATAGCCGCCCGAGGTCCACAGTGCCGAGGGTGACGAGAATGGGCTCAGCGGACCGGTCACCGACGACCAGAGTCGGGGAGAGAAACCTACGTTGGCTTCAACGGCGCGGATCGCGATCCATGCCATGTCCTCTTCAGCCCATGTTCTTCGCCCGTACTGCATGTCACCTGGCATCGACAGAAGCGCCGCCGCACTCGTGCGCACCTGTCTCGAATTCTAGACGCGATACAACACCAAACCATCCGCACCCACCACATTCGGCCTTTGCTTGAAGAGCCTCAGATGCGCCCATGCCCGGCCCTGGTCACCGGCCTCCCGGTGCTGTCTCTGGCGGCACAGGCGTGTTCACATGGCCGCTCCCCGAAACTGCATCTATTTCCGCCGCCGACGCGGCTACCTGCTCGTGGCTGCGGCTCTCCGTCGACTTGACACAGACCAACGATTGCTCTCCGAAAGGCGGGTGACGGTGGATCTGATGCTATTTTCTGCTTGTACGCATCGAATAGAGTGACTGTAAGCAGGCAATGCAGGCTGAAGTTTCGATCCTCCCAAGACTCTTGAAAGACATTTCACGTTATACAAACAGATCCGACGACGGCTTTGAAGTCATCACCGGGTAATCGCTGTTTGTCGGGCGGCGGCCAGCGTCTGCACCGTGACTCGAGTGGCCACAGCCGCAGCCGCAGCAGCCGCATCCCGGAGTGTGGCTGCTCTCGGTCTACCGTGTGGCCCCCTTTGGCTTTTACACGCCCTAAATTCGTAACTGCAGCACTGCTTATGTGTTTGGACGAGGTGGCGGGATGTAGAAGCCGGGAAAGCAAAGGGGAAATAAGCAAGTTGTCCCAGGCCTGCAAATGCAGTATCCATGTCTGCGTACAGATCACACAAACACACGCACAAACTCCTTGTTTTGCAGATCGCGGGTTGGACAAGAGTTGCGTTGCGTTGCGTTGGTTCTGCCAATGTCATCTCGTACGGGCGTACGTACGAACCAACCGACTGTACTGAACTGCCGTTCTCCAATTTCCCCGTTGTCGAGGAGGCAATCAGAATCAATCTTGCATCTGCGCACACCAACTTCTAGACACCAGCTTTTCTGCTTTCTATCCCTCCTCTCTCCTTGCTCCAAGGCGTCGTCACTCCTTGCTAGCGCATTGGGCATCCTAGGATCATTCTGCAGTTTGATGCCGGCTTCGAGTACCGGCTGCATCCACTGTTTGTCAGACAGGTCAGGTTGGCAGGTCCAACGACAACGATAGATGAGCCGAGACTCGAGACTCGAACGAGATTATCGACAGTCCCTGACTGACGCGGACTGCAATCAGCATGCACCTGCAATCCCAAGGCATGGCAACTGAGACACGCCAAAAGTCCCGCCTCGCTGGATCAAGGTGGATTGGAGATTTGCCAAGACTCTTGGAGGGTGAAGGTGATGGGCAACACGCAGGTACGCCAGTTAGCGTACTGGTAGCCACACGCATGCCGGGGTTGCTGTCGAATGGGCAAGTTGTAACGAAGAGATTCTTGCGCGCGCGCGTCTGCAGGGGTGCGTGGAACGGCAAGTTTGGACGAAGTGCTCGCTGAGCCATGGCCCCACGGTTGCCGCGCTGTCGGAACCTCTTGGATCTCCCTAGCGCGTCTGGCTGGCGATTCAGAGATCTCTGGGAAGCAGAACCAGGTATTCCCTGACAGGCTCTTGTGTCAAGTTGATGGCCCGACGGGGCGCCGGTAGATTTGGCGCCCTTCTGTCTTTCCCACCCGCTCCCTGCCACACTGAACACGCCCAGTTGTCCTCCGGTTCGACTCAGGTACCTTGGACTTGAACAACGAGACTTCGGGTAGCCCGTGAACAGCTGTTGCAACGGCTGGCGAGTGGCTTGCAGACTTACCCAGTTGTGTACCGAGCGAGTCTCTCTTCGGACTTGCCTGCGATCAACATCAACGGCAGCCCGATCTTGAAGCAAGTCACCCTGTCCCGGTCGATGGTGGTGCTGTGGTGGTATGTCTTGCCTCTGTCTCTCATGCCTTGGCTTCCTCGGAAAGCCGTACGCTACCTATGCGACGGAGTAATTCATACGGACTCTCAGTATTATCGTACAGACTAAGAAGTACGAACACAGACGCAGCGTAAGCCAGCCAGCCCGCCGTCCCAACCAACAAACAGTCAGCCTCTAGGGCGAGGCTCGCGAGCAAAGCAGGGAAAGCAACAAGCAGTAACATGCATTGACGGATGTGGCGTCCGCGAACGCTCCTGCGTCTCATGGATGGGCCTGATGGACCTTGATGAGCCTGATACCTGACGCCCATCACCCGTTCCTCTCATCTTGGAGCTGTTCTTTGGGATCAACACAGGCATGGCACCATTCCCCAACCCGGTCGGAACAACATTTCGAGCAAAGTTTGGGAAACGGCATGCACATCAAAGTCCACCACGATTGCTCCTGTCGAATGGTCTGGTCGTCTCTTCTCCTGAAATGCATGCAGCAGTGCCGGAAAGAAGTCCACGGGTGGCGTTCCTGTATGACAGGGCACGCCGCACACGGACGGCCGTCGCGGAGATGGATTCCCACTCTTCTGCGCGACGAAATTGGACAGGACCCGGCGACCTCACGACACGATCCACACACCCGTGGGTTGGCCCAACCCACACGCAGCATTGCTCACTTACGTTTGGCCCCATGGGTTGGGTTGCTGTCGGTTTGCTGTCCCGATGACGAGAGCAAAGGGCACCGGGGCCGGGGCAAGCCTTAGCCAAGGCAAGGGCAAGGTGAGGCGAGACGAGGCGACGCGTCCGAGAGTCAAAGACTTGAGAGGAGGGAAGTGAAAGGACCGGTCCATCATGAGATTTCCAAGAAGAAAACACACCGACAAAAAAGCAACAGAGTGACAACCGACATGTCTTTTGGTGTTACGTCTGTGGCCATTGTGCCCCATTTTTTTTTTCGCTATCTCACTCGGTTTCTGTTGTGAGAAGCTGGTCAATTGGTCATGCTGGATGTCACTTTGGACGGGCGGTAACTCTTTGCAAAGCAAGACCATTCCAGTTATTCGTTCATCTCACCGTTTTGGATTTTTCGAATATCTGAACATCAGATGGCAGCAGGCTTCCCTCGGTCTGAGGTTCCTGCGACCGAGGACATCCCCGAGCGGCAGAGAGTTTGGCATTGCCAGGCCCCCGACATTCCCGACAACGCCGCGCCGCCGAGTCCGGATCTTGTCATTTTGACTTTGGGGGTCCATCCTTACAGATGTTCTACACGTATGGTACGGGATAGATGGGCTAGGCATTTTTCCGCACTGCAGTATAACGACTGTAGACTCTGGTGACGTGAGAAGCATCAAACGGTACACTAGCGTGTAGCTGGGCCGTTAGTCCCCCTCGCTTTTTCACTCCGAGTACAGTCTCGTCTCGTCTCGTGATGTCTCTCTCTCTCTGTGCGTGTGTCTTTTACCCATCATCAGCCACGGACCGATTCCTGCATCACAGTCATCACGCAAGGCGGCCGCGAAGGAGCGAAACGAAGCGGATGCGATGATGCGAAAGTGGGATCCCCTAATTCCCCATCCGCATCACCAGCATGTAAGGTACATCACTCCCCCCCAAACCAAACCCCTGCTTCACGCGCTCGCATCGCTCCGCGGGGGAAGAGGAAGAGGGAGATGACGGCTGGCTGCTCTGTCACTCTGGCAGGCCTGGCCTGATGAGGGGCCTACGATCACCCGCCCGTCGTCGTCGCCGCCGCCGCCGCCCCCTGTACGGATGACGAGGAAGATCCCTTTTTTCTGATGTTGCGTCGATTTGCTTGCTCTTCGAGTCTCTTCCCGCACCCAGCCCAACGCTGATGTGAACGACCAACGACTGACCCCGGTCCGCAAGCGTACCCCGGTATAGGATGAAACCACGGTTCGTATGCCCTTCCCCTCCGCTCTCACCCTGGCCAGAGGATGCCAGATGGAAGCCTTCTACGGCCAAATCTGAGCACGGACATTTAGCAGCAGCAGGTAGTTGTTGTCTTGTCTGCAGTGTGTGCTGCACGCAACGCAACGCAGCCTCAGCGCATGAGGAGCGAGGTGCAGTGCAGTGCATTCAGCGGAAGGAGGATCGTGGAGTGTTGTCGTTGGTGTTGTGTATTAGTCCCACGCCCCCTTATTGAAGGTCAAGTGGACGATTGTCGCTGCTGGCGAGAAGTGAGTAAAAACCCCGACGGCGACGGCGCCTATGTAATGTGCGTATGACTTGTATGTAGGCATGTATGTATGTATGTATGTATGTATGTATGTATGTATGTGTGCATGTATGCTTGCCTGTGTGTGTGAGTGTGATGGATTTCCCTCCGATGAAGGAACGTTTCTGGTTCGTTGGTTCCTGGAGAACTGAGAGATCTTCACTGCTCGTTACCATATCCTATCGTTCTAGGCTCGGTCGGTCAGCCTCCTTGTGTTTGGGTGTGTGTGTGTGTGTGTGTGTGTGTTCCGAGCTCCGTTCTCCCCATTCTCACTTCTCTCTCTGTCTCCCCCGCTCACGATGCAAGGGGGGAAGTGGAGGGGCACGGTGTGCAAACTTGAAGAGAAGGGCATAACTCGACGGCTTCTTAATTTCTGAATCTTGCGGGGAGAGAGCAAGAGAGTGCGAGTGACGTTTGGTTTAGGGGGTACGGATAGATGAACCACGCATATGCCGTCATTGTCACCCGAAGCGTAGTAAAGCAGAAGAGCCAAAAGAAGAGTTGCAGTGGTTGACTGCTTCTTGTTTACCCGTACCCCGTATCCCTTTCCTCCTGTTCTGAGGGTAATTACAAAACTTTTCGGCACACGAGTGATTGGTCCTTGCATGAACTTGTCTCTCTTGACTGTCTGTGTGTACGGATAGAAACAGGACAGGACAGGACAGGATCAGACAGACACGGCTCGACTTTTTTTTTGAGATGATCGGCAGGCTCGGTACTCCGTAGCTTGTTGGGAATATGGAAATCGTTCCCGAGGCGAGTGCGTGTGTGAGAGCACTCAGGCACTCACTCGGACGGTAGTGTAGACTAGATGGCAGAGGAAGGGCCCAGCGAATTCAGGTACCGAGACACCACACCGCAGATACAAGTGCCATCATCCATGGCGAGGCAAGCAAGCAAGCAGCAGCTTTGGATCATGTATGGATGGATGGAGTGAGGAAGAGGTTACACCGTGACCCCACCACGAAATGGGCGGGAAGCATCGCGCGCACCATTGCCCTCTCCCAAGACTACTCCTCCAAGACTACCAAGAGGTAAGACGAAAAGGAAAAAAGCTCGGAGGAAGGATGAGCCCTTTCAGCCTACGGCTCGTTCGGGCAGCTTTCCAACCTGACCTGACCTTACCCAGCACCAGTGCGGCACCACCACATCGACGCATCGCATCGCTCGCTGCAACGCTACCGCTCTTTTCTTAGCTTTTCGCTTCTCATGCTACCCTTGCTTGGTACCCCGGTACGAAGTACAGCTCTCGTCGAATGTGGTGCCTCTTTTCGGAATTCCCTGATGGAACAACACGCACATACACGCGCGCACACACACGTTCACAAGATCACACCAAAGAGTACTCTGTACTTTCCAAAACTCTCGGCATATACCTCACTGCAACACACATTCAACATGGTAAAACGAAGTACCTCATAAAATTGGTCGAACACACAAGCTGGAGAAGAGCTTCCCGTCGTTCCTGGGGACCGGGTGGCCCATGTAAGCGGCCCTGACGCCCGTCGTTCGCAACCTCTCCCCACGTCCATCACGGCATTGACGAGCGTGGCACCTCTTCAGCCTGGCATAGATTGGAAATGACCGGGACTTTTTTTCGACAATAGCTAAGCTAAGCTAGCCTAGTGTCCGATTCTCAAACACAGCTTCTCTCTCTCTCTCTCTTGTTGCTTTCTTCTTCATGTCTCTCTTGGTCCGATCGAATTAAAATGCACGTGGAGATTGGAATCTCGCGGACGTGCCGGACAAGGCCCGCAGCGCCAGGTCAGGCACCCCCCTCCCTCCCCGGAGACTTCAATATCCCAAGTGCCGTGCTGTCAGAAGAGAAGCTACAGGAAAACTAATTAACCAGCTTTTCCGTTCGGTCACGTACATTTGGCATATTACACACACGCCGTAGACTAATCTGACCGCCTTCTTGTCCGCCGCCAAACTCGTTCGATCATTCCGGGGGGAGGGTTTGGCTCCAGCACGTCACCCAAGGCGACTTGGAGTAATAACCTCAGTTTGCGTTTGCCCGTTGGCTGGTTAGCTTAGTTAGCTCTATCTCTCTTTTCCCATCTTAAAATCTTTCGATAGCGGTAGTGCGCCGCGCCAAACCGTGAGCTTAAATCACGCCGCCTCATCACGCCAGATCAGACACATTAATCACACAGACGGCGCCTTCGTTGGAACACTTGGAAGCTCGTTTTCGTTGTTCTACGCGAGCACTAGAAGGCCGCTACCGCTACGTTGTAATCCACTTTTGCTCTTGCTCGAGACCACTAAGTTTCCTGCAACACGGCGAACAGGGCGACTTGGTCAAGGGACCGATGTACACAAGATTGGAAGTGGACCGCAGCCCAAAGTATCCGTACCCGGCGACAGCTTCTGGCAGACGGGCTCGCTCTCAGTCTCTCTCGCCTGTCTGTTCTTGGGTGGAGAACGTGGAAACTGGAATTGAGGGACTGCAGCCTTCGAGAAACCGCATCTCACCTCCCCTGGGCCCTGGCACGGGGGGAGAGCGAGAGAGCACTCTGGAGTCTGTGAACATGCTTTTCTCACTACGGTGGGGAGGTTTGGCTTTCCGCTCATCCCATACCCAAGAGCCACGAAGATAGCTTAGTGTAAGGAGTAATAACTTGCGTGCGTTACGGCGTTGTGTTCTCTGTACGCAACGTGCAGGGCCAAAAGACATGCGCGTTCACTGTTTCTGCCCTCTTCTAAAACATGGCTGTACAGCAAGCGCGGCCCCAGATTCGGTCCAGATTTGGGAATATTTTGGTTCACCTCCGAAATCAAAAAAGAAAAATCCCACATGGCTGACACGCCGCCGTTTTCTCCCCCAATTCCGCCTCGGAAGCGGACAGGTTCCCCGTCTCTCTTTTCCCCCCTTTGCTCTCTCTCTTTCTCTCTCTGTGTGTGCCTCCTTGATTCTGCCTCGAGGGACGCTGTGCGTTGCGGGTAGTTAAGGTTTGTGTGTGCGTATCTACGTGTGCCTGTATCCGTTGAAAATGTCTGTGTGTACCCTTACCACGGTGTGTCTTCCACAGTTCGCTGCTTGATGTAAGACTGGGCAGCGGCGGCGGCGAAAAGAAAGAGGTCTTGAACCGAGGCGACGAAGATCTACTTTCTTGGAGGATCTGCTCATTGTCCGTCCATCCCCTTGCCTCGCCAAACGCAGTCTGCCGGGGTCGGGAGTCATCCGTCGCCCATCAACCCATCACCATGCCCATCGCTTCTGTGTCCGTACCCGTTACCCGTTACCGTCCCCTGCCTTGCCTCTGTTCGGTTCTCCTCTCTGGCCGGCCGCCTCTTGCTCCAGTCCTCGACCCATTACCCAGTCGTCTCCCCGTCGAGGAGGATATTGATGATCGAGGGTGTCCGTGAAGAGACATTGACAGAGTGAGAGACAAGATGTTCCACTCGGCCGGTAAGTCATCAACTAAGTTGCCGCCGTCAGTCAACACACAGACAAGCGCCAATCTTCCAAGAGTCTATACGTCTTCTTGCTCGTTACTGCGCCGTATCTCGCGGAAGCACTCGCTGTCTCTCTGAGTCTCTTTCTTGTCCGGCCCCCTGCAACTACACTAGCACACTACCGCGATCCTTGTTCTCGCTCGCTCTCACTCCCCACCAGATTTCCGTACCCTTCTTTTTCTTCGCGGCCGGCCAACTCAATAGGCGCACACCTAGGGCTCACCCTCCACTCCGTCCCGCTTCCCTTTGGGACGCCCTCCCCCGCAGCAACCTTTCCTCAGGCCCTTTTTTTGGTGTCCGCAGTGGGATGGGGACCAGAAAGCGAGCAGAGAGAGAAAGTGAACGGTGAGAGAAAGCCAGAGAGCTCCAGCAGTGACCGCACACACACACACCCACCACCACCCTCCTCATCGGCTCATCCACCTCCTCCGGCTCCCCCTTGATCGATGATCTTTTCCATTGGCCGTGGCCTCGGCCGGGCTTCTCGACAACGGTCATGCGTTCATCCGTGGAGTCGACACAGAGCTAATGTCACAGAGGGTCCAATGAGCGTCATGCAGATATCCCAGCCGAGATGCCTCTTTCGCTCCTTGATTTCTTTTTTTCTTTACTTTTCCCGAGCCGTCTTTTCGATTCTTTCTCTCTGCCGTGTTGCGTAAGTACGCAGTAATAATGTGTGTCAAGGGCTTGCTCGAGAGAGAGGCATGTATGTGTGATGTCGGAGCCTCGGAGGAGGAGGACCATCTGTCCCTGTGCAATATCGCGTGTATCCGTAACTTGTAAGTACACAGGGAACCTTGAGGTGGTTTGTGATCCCCCTTCGCCTCGATGCGAGATCCATAGTATCATTATTTTTGGGGCCAAGCAGTCAAACCTTCGGCCGCGCCTTTCGGTGCCTGTGCCTGTGCCTCGCGCTTGTGCCTGTCTGGTACCTGAGCTTTTTTCATGAACCCAGCTCTGGGTTCAGGTTCAGGTTCTTTTTTTGATCTCTCTGCGGCCGCACCAAGCCAAGGGCCAGAAAAAATTACTGGAAAATGGGAACAGGCGCGGGAAAAGGGAGAGCCCCCGTTCGACCCTGTCTCATTCCCTCCTCTCCATTGCTCCAAAACCGCCCACCTGGTTCTGTACTGATTCAGGCGTCGACATCAGCCTGCCTATTCAGGCCTTCACAGACAAGGTGACCCCGTTTCACCATGGGCTGCTCAACTCTGCTCAGCTGGCACGCCGCTGCAAGAAATCTGTCATCTCAATCTAGGATCTCTCTCTTTTTGTTGCCTTTACCAACACGGGCCAAGGGTCAGGTATCTCTCTCACTCTCACACACACACTCACACACACACACATACTGTGTACTCTCTCTCTTTCTCTCGCTCGCGCTATGCCATGCTGGGCTGGAAATGACGGAATGGTGTTGGGTAGGTTATAGGTTCCAGGACAGTCAATAGCAGCACGGCATTAGCCATTCAGCCGAAAATCTTAAGGCCATGGGCTTTGGTGATATAGCTGCTACCATCGTCCGGTTCATCTGTCACCTCGCTTTGAGCGATCCCCCAGGCTCAGCCCAGGTCTTCTTCTCGAACACACAGGGTGGACACTGGAAGAGGAGGAGTAGGAGGGTACCACCGTGGGAACTTGGTAGTGCTTGGGAAGAAGACTGGACGTGATGGACGGAAATATCCACACCCATACCACATTTACACGCACAGATGCATGTGGCTCAGCAGAGCAGCAGCATCAACAGCAACAGCATCCCGCGACAAGAGCAACAGCTGGTATTAGCTGCCCACCCACGTTCGCGCGTGCCCCGACTGACTTGTTGATGCCAGGAACTGCTGCTGGTGCTGCTCTCCCAGACCACCTTACCCACCCCCTCCCCCTACCCTACCCTACGGATCCATCCCCTACCCTGCAGTCCCCTTCCCTCCCCGTCTGTCCATATCCACATGGACAAATCTACACCCACGTCCACATCCCAAATACACACACCCACGTCCAAGCCGGGGGCCTGGCGGCGGCGACGGCGGGCGGGCAAAGCTCGATGCCATGCCATGCCTATCCGTACCCGTCTGGCATGGCATAGCATGAGCTGCTGCTTGTGCTTCTACTTCTGCTTTCTCTGCTACGGATACTGCTGCTGCGGCTTTTCTCACTCGAGTCGGCGAGCCTTAAACCATGCATCGGGTCCCTTTTTCAACCATCTCATTCTCCACTGCTACGGTACCTGAGTACCCTCTTCACCCCAGTCATCCTCGTCCTCCTCGACACCACCAGTCAGGTACCGAGTACTCTCGAACCCTCGTCGTTGAACCAGCCGTTATTCCTCTCCCCCCATCGTGGCCAGCTGCTTCTGGCTGCCCGTGCTGGCCCTGGCTCGAGTCCCAAGTCCTCCTGTCCGGATCCAGCCTCGACATTTCTCCGTGTGGATGGCCGTACCCTTCGGTATTAATTCCACCTCTGTCAAACTAAGGAGCAAGGGCTTCCTTACAAGACCGCCTTATTACAACCACGGGTATCCTTCAGACTTGCCATACACAACGGGGCCTGTCAGTTCCAGGCCCAGGAACGCCTCCCAGTCGATCGACCCCGCCATACTATCAGTTGGCACACCCTCAAATTTATACAATATATGATCGATCCTACCTCGTGGGACCTGGGGTAGCCAAGTCCTCTTTCCCTTTTTCATCATCTTCTCTTCCTTTTCCCAAAACGACTTGACGCATCAACGCATCATCCTCTCTCTACATCTATATATCACTCTCACTCTTACACTCTCTCTTTTGATTAACTTGTTAAGAACCATCTCGGGACGGACCCAACTCCAAGGCTAGACACCTTGACCTTCCGACATCAACCTTATCTTGAATCATCAACATAGAGTGCTGTTATATTACCACTATCGGTTGCTTTTGTCGTACACCTTCTAGCTCATCTAGATCTCGGCAAACATCGATAGCTTCCAACACAATCCCTCCAAACACTCCTTTCCCATCTGTCCTAGATTCAACCTCATCTCAGGACATCCTCTCCAGAGAGATCCAGATCGTCCTTGTACCAGCTCGAAACAAGACAACCACCTCATAAACCGAAATCACCACACCTGTCCCAATGCTTGTTACCAGGCAGTTTGACACCACCGAGCAGAGCCACTGGTCCTACAGCAAATTTGAGACCCCCCTCCACAAGGCCCCTACCACTCCTCCACGCATGTCGAACCAGTTCGAAGCTCCGTTGCCCACGCCTCCCGAGTGGCAAGGGCAGCAGTACTCTTACCTCCCAGGGCCGGAAAACAACGTCTTCTCCCAGGCGTACGGAGCTGGCAATGAGACCTCGGATGCGTCGCAACCTCGCACTGCAACCGGCGCCCCTGCACAAATAGAGATCCAGACGAAGCAAGAACCCGGTCTGGAAAACCGTGGCACAGCAGACCCTCTTGGACTTCGTCAAGTGAAGCAGCCCACTCCGGAAGACGAGCCCGAGGACCGACAGCAGCAGCAACAACAGCAGGAACAGCGACAGGCATCGCAGTCCTTGGAGAAGACCGCAGAGCCGGCATCTCATGAACCCACGGCATCAACAGATATGCAGGGCCAGACAATGATCTCGAACCCGGCTTCATCAACAGAGCTCGGTGCCGATGTGTCTTCGTCCCAGATGGACCATGACGAGGGTAGCTTGAGCAAGGACGAGGACGACGACGTGCTTGACGATGATGATATGCTCGACGACGGCGATGGAACCCCACAGACGGCCGCAGAACGGACAGCAGCCCGGAGGAAGATGAAGCGTTTCCGGTTAGTCGAAGCAGCACATGAAGCATTGTTAGCGGCATACTGACCACAACGACAGTCTCACACACCAACAGACGAGATTCCTCATGAGTGAATTCGCCAAGCAGCCTCACCCTGATGCCGCCCACAGAGAGCGCCTGTCAAGGGAGATCCCCGGCCTGAGCCCTCGCCAAGTACAAGTCTGGTTCCAGAACCGGTGAGTCTGCTCGCAACCTTACAATCTCAAAGAGACTGTGGAACTAATCCTGTTCATCCAATAGCCGTGCGAAGATTAAGCGTCTCACAGCCGATGACCGTGACCGCATGATCAAGATGCGTGCGGTTCCCGACGACTTTGACAACGTTCAGGCTCTTCACTCCCCCTACGGCGCGGTCCACGGTCTCAACACTCCCATGTCATCCCCCATGAACTTTGGTACACAGTCATACGCCGACCACATGATTCGTCCTTTGATGGTCGACGTCCGCAGGGCAGAGGGTGGCGAGGAGCACATGTCGTCTACGGGACTCAGCCCTGGATTTGGAAGCATCGGATTCACTCCCCCGGGAACCATGAGCAGCCCGGATATCCTGTCTCCAATGACACCCAATTCGACTGGCGACCACCGCTACGGATACGGCAGCCACCTGTCGCCCATGGGCCCCGGCCCCCGAACCTCAAACCCCTTTGCGCGACAGGGCGCCCTCGAGAACTCCATGTCCATGCACCGCGGCCAGCCGAGCCGACCTCTCCAGCCTCTCCAGCTCCGCGAGACCATGAACCGGTCAAGGTCGGACCTCAACTCTCCTCTCCGCTCCAGCATGTCCTGGAAGGGCGACGCGATCGACTACAGCACATACCACCACGGAGCCGGCGGAAGCCCTCAGCTGAGTGGAAGACAGC